TCTCTCTCTCTCTCTCACACACACACACACACACACACACACACACACACATACACACACACACACACACACACACACATAGATTAGATATTCTTATTACCATATCACATGTCCATTGCATGTGACGATGTGGTTGGGAAGTCGGAGCCGTATATGAAGACGTTGTTGTCGTCTCGCGACATAAGTGGCACCCACTTCCCAACCGTGTTGAAAACCGGGATTTTCCTTACGCTGCAGTGTTAATATTGCATGGTGTTTATTCATACACACCTTCCAGATTCATTCCTGAAGATGTGGTTAGGAACTGAAGATGCATTATGGCCACGTTGATGTCGTGTCCCGCCCACTCGTAACCAATGGACCTCGGAAAATACGCCGAATTGCATAGCAAAGCTTATTTACGAAGGGTTGGCGAAATCGCTAAAACCGTTTCGCGAAGAGGAAATGTCCATTTATGAGTTCGTATTTTGAGAGCAACAAAGTGTCATTTTTCAGAGAATTACAAGTTATGGGCAATCACGAATATCTCAGAATTGCACTTCCGGTTTCACTTAGTCGTTTTTTTGGCGGGGGGGGATTATATCCCGGCGTGCGTTCGGGATTTCGTTACCGAAACGCACTTCGGGATTCCGGGATTTTACTTAGTTTTTTTTTTGGCGGAGGGGGATTATATCCCGACGTGCGTTCAAGATTTCGGTACCGTAAACACACTTCGGGATTTCGGAATTTTACTTAGTCGTTTCTTTTGGGGGGGGGGATTATATCCCGACGTGCGTTCGGGATTTCGGTACCGAAAACGCACTTCAGGATTTCGGGATCTTACTTTTTTTTTTTTTGGCGGGGGGGATTATATCCCGACGTGTGTTCGGGATTTCGGTACCGAAAACGCACTTCAGGATTTCGGGATTTTACTTAGTCGTTTTTTTGGGTGGGGATGATTATATCTCAACATGCGTTCGGGATTTCGGTACCGAAAACGCACTTAGAGATTTCGGGATTTTACTTGGTTGTTTTTTTTGGGGGGGGGTGATTATATCCCGACGTGCGTTCGGGATTTCGGTACGGAAAACAAACTTCGGGATTTCGGGATTTTACTTAGTCGTTTTTTTTCGCTGGGGTGATTATATCCCGACGTGCGTTCCTGATTTCGGTACCGAAAATGCACTTCGCGCTTTCGGGATTTTACTTAATCGTTTTTTTTGGGGGGGGGGGTTATTTCCCGACGTGCGTTCGGGATTTCGGTACCGAAAACGTACTTCCGGATTTCGGGATTTTACTTAGTTGTTTTTTTGGCGGGGGGGATTATATCCCGGCGTGCGTTTGGGATTTCGGTACCGAAACGCACTTCGGGATTTCGGGATTTTACTAAGGCGTTTTTTTTTGGTGGGGGTATTATATCCCGACGTGCGTTCGGGATTTTGGTACCAAAAACGCACTTCGGGATTTCAGGATGTTATTTAGCTTTTTTTTTGGCGGGGAGGGATTATATCCCGACGTGTGTTCGAGATTTCGGTGCCGAAAACGCACTTCGGGATTTCGGGATTTATCTTATTTTGTTTTTTGGCGGGGAGGGATTATATCCCGACGTGCGTTCGGGATTTCGGTACCGAAACGGACTTCAGGATTTCAGGATTTTACTAGGGCATTTTTTTTAGGGGGGGGATTATATCCCGACGTGCGTTCGGGATTTTGGTACCGAAAACGCACTTCGGGATTTTGGGATTTTACTCAGTTGTTTTTTTGGCGGGGGGGGGTTATATCCTGACGTGCGTTCGGGATCTCGGTACAAAAAACGCAGTTCGGGATTTCGGGATCTTACTTAGTTTTTTTTTTGGTGGGCCGGGGATTATATCATGACGTGCGTTCGGGATTTCGGTACCGAAAACGCACTTCGGGATTTCGAGATTTTACTTAGTTGTTTTTTTTTGGGGGGGACGGATTATATCCCGACGTGCGTTCGGGATTTCGGTACCGAAACGCACTTCGGGATTTCGGGATCTTACTTAGTCGTTTTTTTGGGAGGGAGAGATTACATCCCGACGTGGGTTCGGGATTTCGGTACCGAAAAGGCACTTCGGGATTTCGGGATTTCACTTAGTTTTTTTTTTGGCGGCGCGGGATTATATCCCGACGTGCGTTTCGGATTTCGGTACCAAAACGCACTTCGGGATCTTGGGATTTTACTAAGGCATTTTTTTTGGAGGGAGGATTATATCCCGATGTGCGTTCCGCATTTTGGTACCGAAAATGCACTTCGGGATTTCGGGATCTTACATAGTTTTTTTTTTGGCGGGGGGGGGATTATATCCCGACGTGCGTTCGGGATTTCGGTACCGAAAACCCACTTCGGGATTTCGGGATTTTACTTAGTTGTTTTTTTTTTAAGGGGGAGGGTTATATCCCGACGTGCGTTCGGGATTTCGGTACTGAAAATGCACTTCGGGATTTCGGGATTTTACTTAGTCGTTTTTTTGTGGGGGATGATTATATCCCGACGTGCGTTCGCGATTTCGGTACCAAAAACACACTTCGGGATTTCGGAATTTTACTTAGTTTTTTTTTGGCGGGGGGGGATTATATCCCGACGTGCGTTCGGGATTTTGGTTCCGAAAACGCACTTCGGGATTTCGGGATTTTACTTAGTTKTTTTTTTGGCGGGGGGGATTATATCCCGACGTGCGTTCAAGATTTCGGTACCGAAATGCACTTCGGGATTTCAGGATTTTACTTAGGCTTTTTTTTTCGGGGGGGGATTATATCCCGACGTGAGTTCACGATTTTGGTACCGAAAATGCACTTCGGGATTTCGGGATTTTACTTAGTCGTTTTTTTGGGGGGGGGTGAGTATATCCCGAGCTGCGTTCGCGATTTCGGTACCAAAAACGCACTTCGGGATTTCAGAATTTTACTTAGATTTTTTTTTCGCGGGGGGGGATTATATCTCGACATGCGTTCGGGATTTCGGTTCCGAAAATGCTCTTCGGGATTTCTAGATTTTACTTGGTTGTTTTTTTGGCGGGGGGGATTATATCCCGACGTGCGTTCAAGATTTCGGTACCGAAACGCACTGCGGGATTTCAGGATTTTACTTAGGCGTTTTTTTTGGGGGGGGGATTATATCCCGACGTGAGTTCACGATTTTGGTACCGAAAACGCACTTCGGGATTTCGGGATTTTACTTAGCCGTTTTTTTGGGAGGGGGTGATTATATCGTGACGTGTGTTCGAGATTTCGGTACCTAAAACGCACTTCGAGATTTTGGGATTTCACTTTTTTTTTTTTTTTTGTCGGGGGGGGATTATATCCCGACGTGCGTTCGGGATTTCGGTACTGAAAACGCACTTCGRGATTTCGGGATTTTACTTAGTTGTTTTTTTTTGGAGGGTGGGGCTGATATCTCGACGTGCGTTCGGGATTTCGGTACCGAAAACGCACTTCGGGATTTCGGGATTTTACTTGGTCGTTTTTTTTTGGGGGGGCTGATTATATCCCGACGTGCGTTCGGGATTTCAGTACCGAAAACGCACTTCGGGATTTCGGGATTTTACTTTGTTTTTTTTTTTGGCGGGGTGGGATAATATACCGACTTGCGTTCGGGATTTCGGTATTTTTCTTAGTTGTTTTTTTGGTGGTGGGGGATTATATCCCGACGTGCGTTCGGTTTTTGGTACCAAAACGCACTTCGGGATATCGGGATTTTACTTAGGCGTTTTTTTGGGGGGGGGCCTTATATCCCGACGTGCATTCGGGATTTCGGTACCGAAAAAACAGTTCGGGATTTCGGGATTTTACTTAGTCGTTTTTTTTGGAGGGGAAGGATTATATCCCAACGCGCGTTCGGGATTTCGGTACCGAAAACGCACTTCGGGATTTCGGGATTTTAATTAGTCGTTTTTTTGGGAGGGGGTGATTATATCTCGACGTGCGTTCGGGATTTCGGTACCGAAAATGCAATTCGGGATTTAGGGATTTCACTTAGTTTTTTTTTTGGCAGGGGGGGATTATATCCTCACGTGCGTTCCGGATTTCGTTGCCGAAAACGCACTTCGGGATTTCGGGATTTTACTTAGTTTTTTTTTTGGCGGGTAGGGATTATATCCCGACGTGCGTTCGGGATTTCGGTACCGCAAACACACTTCGGGATTTCGGGATTTCACTTAGTCGTTTTTTTTTTGGGGGGGGGTGATTATATCCCGACGTGTGTTCGGGATTTCGGTACCGAAAACGCACTTAGGAATTTTAGGATTTTTTTTTTTTTTTTTTCGGGGGGGGGACTATATCCTGACCTGCATTCGAGATCTCGGTACTGAAAACGCACTTCGGGATTTCGAGATTTTACCTACTCGTTTTTTTGGCGGGGTCGGATTATATCCCGACGTACGTTCGGGATTTCGGTATCGAAAACGCACTTCAGCATTTCGGGATTTTACTCAGGTATTTTTTTGGCGGGGGGGGATTATATCCCGATGTGCGTTTGGGATTTCGGTGCCAAAAATGCACTTCAGGATCTCGGGATTTTACTTTTTTTTTTTTTTTTGGCGGGGGAAGATTATATCGCGACCTTGTGTTTAGGATTTCGGCACCGAAAACGCACTTCGGGATTTCGGGATTTTACTTGGTCGTTTTTTTGGCGGGGGTGGATTATATCCCGACGTGCGTTCGGGATTTCAGTACTGAAAACGCACTTCGGGATTTCAGGATCTTACTTAGGTTTTTTTTTGGCAGGAGGGGATTATATCCCGATGTGCATTCGGGATTTCAGTGCCGAAAACGCACTTCGGGATTTCGGTGTCGAAAACGCACTTCGGGATTTCGGGATCTTACTTCGTTGTTTTTTTGGCAGGGGGGGACTATATCCCGACGTGCGTTCGGGATTTAGGTACCGAAATGCACTTCGGAATTTTACTGAGGCGTTTTTTTGGGGGGGGGGATTACATCCTGATGTGCGTTCGGGATTTTGGTACCGAAAACGCACTTTGGGATTTCGGGATTTTGCTTAGTTGTTTTTTTGGCGTGGGGGGATTATATCCTGACGTGCGTTTAGGATTTCGGTACGGAAACCGCACTTTGGGATTTCGAGATTTTACTTAGTTTTTTTTAGTGGTGGGGAGGGCAATTATATCCCGGTCTGCGTTCGGGATTTCGGTACCAAAAACGCACTTCGAAATTTCGGGATTTTTCTTAGCTGTTTTTTTTTTTGGGGGGGGTGCTTATATCCCGACGTGCGTTCGGGATTTCAGTACTGAAAACGCACTTCGAGATTTCGAGATTTTACCTAGTAATTTTTTTTTGCGGGGAGTACTTATATCCCGACGTGCGTTCGGGATTTCGGTACCAAAAACGCACTTCGGGATTTCGGGATTTTACTTAGTTATTTTTTTGGCGGAGAGGGATTATATCCCGACGTGCGTTCGGGATTTCGGTGCCGAAAACGCATTTTGGGATTTCGGGATTTTTCTTAGTTGTTTTTTTGGCGGGGAGGAATTATATCCCAACGTGCATTCGGGATTTCGGTACCGAAACGCACTTCGGGATTTCGGAATTTTACTTGGGCATTTTTTTGGGGGGAGGGCTTATATCCCGACGTGCATTGGGGATCTCGGTACCGAAAACGCACTTCGGGATTTCGGAATTTTACTTGGTTGTTTTTTTTGGGTGGGGGGCTTATATCCCAACGTGCGTTCGGGATTTTGGTAATGAAAACGCACTTCGGGATTTCGGGATTTTACTTAGTCGTTTTTTTGGGGGGGGGGTGATTCTATCGCGACGTGCGTTCGGGATTTCGGTACCGAAAACGCACTTCGGGATTTCAGGATTTTAATTAGTCATTTTTTTTGGGGGGGGTGATTATATCCCGACGTGCGTTCGGGATTTCGGTACTGAAAACGTACTTCGGGATTTTGGGATTTTACTCAATTTTTTTTTTGGTGGGGGGGGGATTATATCCTGACGTGCGTTCGGGATTTCGGTACCAAAAACGCATTTCGGGATTTCGGGATTTTACTTAGTTGTTTTTTTTTGGGGGGGAGGGCTTATATCCCGACGTGCGTTCGGGATTTCGGTACCGAAAACGTACTTCGGCATTTCGGGATTGTACTTAGTCATTTTTTTTTGGGGGAGGTGATTATATCCCGACGTGCGTTCGGGATTTCGGTACCGAAAACGCACTTCGGGATTTCGGGATTTTACTTAGTTTTTTTTTTGGCAGGGGGGATTATATCCCGACGTGCGTTCGGGATTTCGGTGTCGAAAACGCACGTCGGGATATCGGGATTTTTCTTACTTGTTTTTTTGGTAGGGGGGGATTATATCCCGGCGTGCGTTCGGGATTTCGGTACCGGAACGCACTTCGGGATTTCGAGATTTTACTTAGGCGTTTTTTTGGGGGGGGGGCTTATATCCCGACGTGCGTTCGGGATTTCGGTATCAAAAACTCACTTCGGGATTTCGGAATCTTACTTAGTCGTTTTTTTGGGGGGGGGGTGATTATACCCCGACGTGCGTTCGGGATTTCGGGATTTTTCTTAGTTATTTTTTTGGCGGGGGGGGATTATATCCCGATGTGCGTTCGGGATTTCGGTGCCGAAAGCGCACTTCGGGATTTCGGGATTTTTCGTAGCTGTTTTTTTGGCGGGGGGGGATTATATCCCGACGTGCGTTCGGGATTTCGGTACCGAAACGCACTTCGGGATTTCGGGAGCTTACTTAGGCGTTTTTTTGTGGGGGGGGATTATTTCACGACGTGCGTTCGGGATTTTGGTACCGAAAATGCACTTCGGGACTTCGGGATTTTACTTGGTCGTTTTTTTGGGGGGGGGGGATTATATCCCGACGTGCGTTCGGGATTTCGGTACCGGAAATGCACTTCGGGATTTCGGGATTTTACTCAGTTTTTTTTTTTGGCGGGGTGGGGATTATATCGCGACGTACGTTCGGGATTTCGGTGCTGAAAACGCACTTCGGGATTTCGGGATCTTACTTTTTTTTTTTTTTGGTAGAGGGGGATTGTATCCTGACGTGCGTTCGGGATTTCGGTACTGAAAACGCACTTCGGGATTTCGGGATTTTACTTGGTCGTTTTTTTGGCGGGGGGGGATTATATCCCGACGTGCGTTTGGGATTTCGGTACCGAAAACGCACTTCGGGATTTCGGGATTTTACTTAGTCATTTTTTTTGAGGGGGGGTGATTTTATCCCGACGTGCGTTCGGGATTTCAGTACCGAAAACGCACTTCAGGATTTCGTGATTTTACTTTTTTTTTTTTTTTTTTTGGCGGAGGGTGATTCTATCTCCACGTGCGTTCGGGATTTTGGACTTAGTCGTTTTTTTGGGGTGGGGGGGTGATTATATCCCGACGCGCGTTCGAGATTTTGGTACCGAAAACGCACTTCGGGATTTCGGGATTTTGGTTAGTCATTTTTTTTTGGGAGGGGGGGTATATCCTGATGCGCATTCGGTATTTCGGTGCCGAAAACGCACTTCGGGATTTTGTTTTTTTTGGGGGGGGGGTGATTATATCCTGAAGTGTGTGTGTGTGTGTGTGTGTGTGTGTGTGTGTGTGTGAGAAAGAGAGAGAGAGAGAGAGAGAGAGAGAGAGAGAGANNNNAAGAGAGAGAGAGAGAGAGAGAGAGAGAGAGAGAGAGAGAGAGAGAGAGAGAGAGAGAGAGAAAGGACAAAGTTTCAAGCTTTTTCGAACACATCCAAAAATCTGGTTGTGGAGAGGCTGCACCCTCTGGCATTGATTTGTGATTGGAATTCGTAGTTGTAATTTGCTTTTTCTTCCCCTGTTTCTTGTTTTTGCCTAGTTTTTTATTTTTGGCTTTAAGTATTGGAAGGTAAATACTCGAATGGGCTCGTGCTCTCTCTCTCTCTATGTATCTATCTATCTATCTATCTATCTATTTATCTATATATATATATATATATATATATATATATATATATAGATGACGCACACCTGCGGCCCCTTCCTTCGAAGACCATTTTAAAGATAAACCTTCAAATGTTGGTCCAATTCCGAGCTATCCTCGAATATTTAAAAAATAATAAAAATAAAAAACCTTTTTATTTTATTTTTTCAAGATTTGTAGTCATATTTTTCACTACGATTTTTTTTTTTTTTCCTCCTCCCCCTGTTTCCTGTCTTTCGCTGCTTTTTTTTTTTTGGTTTTCCTCCTCGTCGCTGCTGATATCAATGCCACTCACCTCAAAGTCCCATAAAGTCGGGTACTCTTGTTGCGGTCGTGTCTGCGCATCGCCCTTGTCATCAGAACGAACCACCACATCATCTCCCTGCCGAGACGGTTGTTCACCCCCTTCGTTGAAGTCACCTGAAGGACGTACGGGTGCCAATCTCCACTCTCTGAATCCGCCATGGACAGTCTGGGCATCCACAGCAGGATTCTTCAACACGGTCGTCACATCCGGGAGAGATACTGCGTCACCTACGTCCTGCATTGTTATGTCTCTTGTGTGTGTCCTTGCGCTATTGTGTTCTCGGACAACGATTTCCCATCCTTGCTTTCTCTTCCTCCTCCTATCGACGTCCGTCAATGTCGCGGTGAGCTCCTCTACAGCCTCGAATATGTTCCCTCGGGGCACAGGATCTCCCGATACAAGGTCGAGTGTGCAATCCTTTACACACTCGACATCGACAACCTCCGCTGCTGCTATTGCGTCCTCCGTCACCTCATGCAATGTCTCGTGAATGAGGTTTTTGTCCTCACCTCCACTCTTCATGAAGTCCACAATTTGGTCAAGTACCACAAACTCGACACCGTCCACCACCATTGTCGCCAGTTCATGGTAGTCGACAGGATCACTTTGTGCCTCCTCGTTCATCCTGCTCAGCGCCAATATCTCCGCAGTGTTCGGCTTCAATTCTTCACCACCCCCTGTCTTCAACATTTTATTTTCCCTCGCCTGGGATCTCACAAACTTCTTGAACGTTGCCGTGTTGTACGAACCTCCTCCCTCTCTTTTCGTCATGTCGATGTCTTGGTCATTTCTCATCCAGTCCACAACTCCGTGAAGAGTGTTCGCAGAGCACTCCGTCATGATGTGGTCGTCATGCACGTCGGCATTTTGAGATAAGCGCAGCAGCAACTGCTGTGCTCTCGTTGACCTGTCTCCGTTTGCCGTCACTGACTACTGAACGTCAACCCTCGTGTCAAAGTACGCCGGCGCTCTTTGCCGTCGTTGTAGTAGTGGATTCCCTTTGTTGCGTATCTCATTACCTCTCTCTCCGCTCTCTCCACTTGATCCACCGTCATCGGTGTCATTTTTCTGTGTTTTAATATGTCCGGCTGTCAGTGGCACCAGAACAGTCGCGGTAAGTCGAAAGACGGTGGTGGTGGTGGTGGTGGTGGTGGTGGTCCTTGGTGGGGGGTGGGGGTGGGGGAAGGCACGGAATGGCAAAGCCGATCGTTTCGGCCTCTCAAGAACACCTTAAAGGGACTCTCTCTCTCACACACAATATCAACAAGATTCTGCAAAAAAAAAAAAAAAAATACCCTCACTTCCAGAAGGTTGGGAAGTGGGTGCCACTTACGCCGGTTCACAGCAACGTCTTCACATTCGCCCCCAACCTCCCAACCTCAAAATCGCAGACACACACACACATACACACACACACACACACACACACACACACACACACACACACACAC